ATGCAGGTGAATATCTTCTTGTTGGAACCAGACAAGGTCATTTGTTGGTTTATTCTTTAAAGAATGCCACAGGTAAAACATAACATCAAAATAATACTTCTTCCTTCCTTGCTTGCTTCCTTCCTTCCTTGCTTCCTTCCTTCCTTCCTTCCTTGCTTGTTTGCTTGCTTGCTTCCTTCCTTCCTTCCTTCCTTCCATTCATTAAATGTAGTCAACGTCTCATACCTTTTCTTTGTCTTTTCAGGCCTCAGCTTTGAACCTGAGCTACTCTGACAGTGGTTTGATGGGTCTGTACGTCATAGCAACACCAAGTAGTGCCGGCAAGGTAAAATCCTGGATATTGAGTGTATAGTATAGAGACAGATGGTGGTGTTCTAAAGGGTTCCATCAATATTTTTGGTATCTGGAATATTTACTAACGCTGTAAGCAATGTTTCAGATTACAAAAAGGGAGAGAAAATATGTGTACAATGCATATTTTTTGCATATTAATAATTATATCGCTTGTCTTGTCTTGCTACAGGTAATGAAGGCTGTTGTGGCTGAATGTCTTAAGGTAGCTAAAGGAGATGTGAGTGACGCAGATCTTACAAGAGCAAAGTAAGTCAATATAAATGTACCTTTCACGTTTTTTTATATATAAAGGTACATATTATGGTCTAGTTAACTTTCCTTGCATTTTTTATTCTTTTATTTAACCATATGTTTTCTAATTGTTTGCTCTAAGAGCAATAACGGCTCATATAGGGAGATCACAATGATAATTATATTTTACAATGATTTACGGAGTACAAAATAGAAAGAAAACGAAAAGTAAGATAATAGTAAGAAGATAGATATTTACGACATATTTTTTCTGAAAATGCAATCCCCTGTAAGGCCAGAGATGGCATCGTTTCACAACGTGGCTGCCGTATAACTGCTCTATACTCGTCTGTTAGGCTGCGTTCATAATGTATGGCAGAGGGGGGGGGCAGGTGAAATTGAGGGGGGATTGGGAAAATTTTGGTAGGAAGGAGGGGGATATGGGAAAATTTTTATAAGAGAAGGGGGGGAATGCATTTGTTGGAAGAAGCTACAAGCCTTGCTTAGGGGGGATCGTTTTTTTGCATGACTTTAAGGGGGGGTGTTAAGAATTATTCTGGACATTTCAAATTTTCACCTGCCCCCCCCCCCCCCCCCCCCCTTGCCATACATTATGAACGCAGCCTTACTCATTAATTTTCTGCTAATTTTCTGTATGATTACAATCTGAATTAGACTTCACTCAGTCCTATTATCATTATAAATTACAGGAACCAGTTCAAGGCTAACCTATTGATGGGATGTGAAAGCAATCAGACCACTTTTGAAGACATTGGTGCACAAGTAAGAGCCTTTGATAACCAATAAATCCCATTACAGTTCATTCCTATCGCGAGCAATAAATATTCCCACAACAAGACAGCCATTTTTCCATGCCTTGCTATAAACATGGCTATGCTCGGCCAGTCATAAATCTGATTGAGGGCCACCCTAATATTACCCTCATGCTTTTTAGTTTTCTTGCATTCACTTTAGGACAGCCGCGGGAAAATATTATTTTCCGTTTTATTCGTCTGTTTGCTTGTTTCTATAGTTTTTTTTGGGTGTGCGTTTTTATTTTTATTCTATTTTCTGTTTTATTTTTGTGGGTTCTTTTTTTGTTGTCGTTGTTTTGTTTGTTTGTTTTTTGTTTTTGTTCATTTTGTTGGTTTTTTTTTTTTGTTTTTGTTCATTTTGTTGGTTTTTTTTGTTTGTTTTGTTTTGTTTTGTTTTGTTTTGTTTATTAATATTTGGGGTTTTTTGTGTGTGTGTGTGTGTGTGTGTGTGTGTGTGTGTGTGTGTGTGTGTATTAATATTTCCGTAAATGTTTGTTTGTTTTCTATCGTTCTATCCCTTTATATATCTGTTAAAACATTTGGTTATCTCTTTTTCCTGTTTGTATCTCTGTATTTCTGTGTTTGTTTGTTTGTTTTGTCTGAACGATAGGCATTTGTTGTTAAAGAGCATTACACTACTAAGATGTCAAAAAGGGATAATCACTTTACCGCTGTTTTTTTGTCTATCATTTCTAGGTATTAATGAAAGGCTCATATACTTCTGTCCGCGAAGTTGCAGAAGCTGTTGATTCAGTATCAAAGAATGAAGTTCTTGCGGTAAGTAATGAACTCTAAACAATCTCCAACAATAACACTAAAACTTTGACATACGGGAATCGAGAATTACTCTTTTTTTAGCTGAGCGAAACGTTTTCGCAGTTCAGACCATGCGTTCATTCCCTTGAGTATCATTTCTTTGTTTAATGGTTGTTCACAGTTCAGACCACATATTCATTCCCTAGAGTATCATTTCTTTGCTTAGTGGTTGTGCATTCACCATTTTCCATACATTGGTTCACTGGTCAAACAAAAAGCGCTCAAGCGAGACGCCAAGGTACTTTCAAAGGATTATTCAAATTCGAATCTTGCAACCTCAACTGAATGCATCGTGTTTGACCAGTGAACCGATGTATGGAAAATGGTGAATATGGATACGACTCAAGCAAAGAATCTTATTCTCAAGAGAATGACATGTTCACCCAAGCTTCATAAAAGTGACTATTATAGATCTTTCTGCCTTGGGCTTAATGTTTTCCCATTTCAGACCACATGTCATTCCCTTGAGTATCATTTCTTTGTTTAACGGTTGCGCATAAGAAGACACATGAATATGGATACAACTCAAACAAAGAATCTTATTCTCAAGAGGGTAACTTGTGGTCTGATAGGCGGAAACATTACGTCCAAGCTAAAAGGGCCTATTACATTTTGGTTAACATTGTTTAATCCTTCCTTATAGGCTGGCAAACGCCTGTTCAGTGGTAAACCTACTTTGTCAGCAGCAGGAGATGTCACCAACGTTCCACCAATCAGCGACTTGTTTTAACTTGATTTGTTTATAATATACTCCTGTCTTGCCGTGCAGAAATTCTAATATACACTGCCCACCAGTTGCTAAGGCATGAGGATAACTTGACCATATTATTGTAAAGGGCTTGTATTGTGGTCTTTTCGTATGTTGTACGATTGGATGGCTTAATTAAATATTCACAACTTTTACTTTGGCTCTTCAACAAAATAGTATCCTATTGCTTGGTACAGGCAAACACTGCCCGTCATGTGCTATCAACCAGAGAGTATTCTATTGCTTGGTATCAATCAGCTGAATGAATCTCATGAATCTCATTACTACCCCACCCCTTATGCTCAATAACCCCAATAGTATTTCACAGTCACTTACTGTAAATAAATGTCTTCAACTCTTCTTCAAATTAACAAAGTAGGTTTTCTATTGAAAAAATCGCATTTCCTCCCCAAAATAAACTGAATGAAACTAAAAATACCTCCACCTCTGCCCCACCGTCATTTGCATAGGTTGCATGATAGAAGTGCCCCTAAAGGCAGAAGTCTGAAATTCGATATTTTGATCGATGCTCTACCGTTTAACCCGCTGGTAGCACGTACGGGGTAATTGCATTTGAATTGAGAAGTCCTGCACGAGAAGGCAACACGTACATACTGAACAAACTCGGTGATTTTCCGGCTTCCGAAAAYATAGTTAACGTAATACATAGTTGTAGACTCAAATTTCATTGTTTCCTTTTTTTAGTGTTAGTCAATACTATGTTTGGTTTTTTTACTTTGTTTAGTCACGGGCCAAGTAAAATCACTCTAATGACGACAAGCGGTCATGAGCACTATAGATGGGACTGCGTTTAGACACCTTGTGTCTGAGAAACTTCGTAACCGTACCGAAAGTCGAATGTAATATAATAACCGCCTTGTCGAAAAGATTCAGCGAGAAACGATTTGCATGAAGCTCAGGCATGCCTTAATGTGGAGACTAGATTGATTCTGTTAGACTATTCATGCATAATTCGATCTCTATCCGCCTTTCGAAGGGCTTTCGAACATGCTAGAAGGGCGCAAACAGATGATGAGGGGAGGCGGGATGATTAGTGACCTTGATGTGTGGAAATGTAACATGTATACAAAAGTAACGCTTTCATTTAGTATCGTTAGCCTTGCCTCGCCTCCCTTGCTCCTTCGTTCGAGTAATACGCACCCCAACCCACCCTTCCGAGGAGCAGCATATTCCTCTAAATCCACAGAAAAGATTATTGAACCACCGTCGTATGACAGCCACGAGATTCTCGTACGATTTAAAGTAAATACCTTGTTTTGACTGCAGTTAGAATGTGCTAGAACGAAAACTGAACGGGACACTTGAAATAATTTCTGGCTAGATGGGATTCCAAAAGATCATTCAAGCTGTGCTCATTTACTCAACATGTTTTTGTAACGTTTTCAGTTCAACCTAGGGGTTTCTACAAACATATGCATTCCAGACTAATTTCGATCAGCTGCCGATACACGCTGCAATTTTTTTTCGCGCTGGCAACGCAATTTCACATTTTCGTTGCAGCGAAAAATTGCAACGTCTACCATATCAAAGAGGTGAAAATCAGTAAAAATCTCTTCCTCCCTTCCTTCCTTCCTTCCTCCCTTCCTTCCTTCCTTCCTCCCTTCCTTCCTTCCTTCCTTTCTTTCTCTTTCGTTTGTTAATAGCTCTGTTCATACATAACTCGAAAACAACTTAGTCTATGATCAACTGGCACACTGATTTAAACGTACGTAACATAGGGCAAATAAAATTACCAAAAAATATTCGATCTATAAACTTCTCATTTCCGTTGTTGAATTCAACTCAACCAATCAAATCTTGTACTCTTAAGTTGTTGATTACATCTCTGAGCCTTTTTTTCTCACCTTAAGTGTTAAGCCCTTCCTCGTAGCCTTTTGACCTCGTTGATTGATGCTCGGAGAAAAATAGCTCATCAGACTCTTCTGTTGACACTAAAAGGGGATCTCCCTACTCTTATATAATAAACAATTCCTGTAAGATAAACCCTCCTCCTTCTATTCCCTAGATTCACGTCCATATTTAGTCTTGGAGACTTTCCAAAAGCACTCAGTGTTGTTTGCTTGCAGCTAAGCGCAGTTTACACACTGCACCTATTACGCGAATCTCAAAGTCCATCAACTTGGAGTGTCATTAGAGTGTTGTGGTTTAAAAATTGCGACCAAAACCGCAGAATGAGGAACTTTGTAGCTCTCTTCCTGTTGTTTTTGTCGAGCTTTTTGATCGCCAGAGTCGTGACGCAGACGCACTACAAAAAACAAGGTATAGAATTTTAATTCTTTGTATTTCACAAAACATGAATTAAACTTGTAAATGCAGTGTTCTATGCTCTTTTGCGACTCGCGGTGTATCAGGTTTTTAAGAATTTTTTCTGCAAAGAGAGAAAGTGTTGTGGAGTGGGGTGATCATACGTGAGTAGGCATGTTTGCTTTCAATCATCGTATCGTTTAACGTGCTACACATCTGGCCTACAGGTTAGGAATGACGTAAAGGAAATTATAAGGCACTTGCAAGCTAGTGAGCGATCATTTTGACATTACTTGAGTGGAGTGTTATCAAGAGTGCGGCTGCAAAATATCAAGATATTTATGGCTGTGATGTTGGCGATCTCGTTATGTTATCAGAAAATGTTGATGCTATTCTAGTTATCACCATCATGGATTATACATCATCATTAGCATCACCACTATCACCATCATGGATTTTACAGCATCATTAGAATCATCATCATTAGCATCATCATCATCATTAGCATCATCATCATCATTAGCATCATCAACATCATCACTATTGCCATCATGGATTATGCATAATCATTAGCATCATCAACATCATCACTATTGCCATCATGGATTATGCATAATCATTAGCATCATCATCATCATCACTTATTGCCATCATGGATTATGCATAATCATTAGCATCATCATCATCACTATTACCATCATGGATTATGCATCGTCATTAGCATCATCATCATCATTAGCATCATCATCATCATTATGGGTTATGCATCAGCTTTATCATTACAATCATTATGATCATCAGCATCCTCACAACGATTGTCATGATGATATCATCATCATCCAAGAACGTATCGTATCATCATCATATCCATGATCATCGTCAACATTATTCATCACCATCATCAACCATATTAAGATGAAGCAGTTCAATAGCCAAGATTTCTCATATTTCCTAAACTACTGGCCTGCACAACTTTATTAATCAGTTCTAACTACAGCTCATTCATTCATTCAAATGATAGGCTTATCGAAAACATGCAGCCCCTCATCAACAGTCTGTGACAGCACCAAGAACCAAGTCAACCAACCAAGCCGAAGAAAAATCACTCGAAAAGAAAAATGCTGTTTACTTGGAAGAAAAATGGCCAAGATAGGTGACTCCTGCACGTATGCACCAAGCCTGGTTACCATCAAGCCTGATTTTCGGCATTTTCATAAACTGAAGACGAAACTCTGGATTGACTCTGGAAGACCTGTCGTCAAAGTCCGATTGTTGAAAAAGTGCAAGAGATTTAAGGCGTTTTACGAGAAGTGCTGCACGTATGAGTCTGAAATGATTGACATGGACATTAAGAGGATGATTAAGAGGTTGCAAAAATTCTTTAGGAAGAGAAGAAATAAGGAGGCAAAGAAAAGGATAAAGAAAGGAAAGCCCTCTGATTTTCCCTGGGGTAAAGCGGCTTTGGAGAAGTAAGCAAATATCTTGGAATTAAATCTCAAAAAAAAAATGACCAAATATACCACATATATATATACCATATACCATATTTACTATATCAATCCCTAAGATATAGGATTTGTATCAAGGTGGACTTTAATGGTGACCATTTGGCGTATGCATGACCTTTATATATCAATGCATGTCATTTCTCCAACACTGTGATTGAACAAAAAGAATTCAAACAAATACGTTACTAAAGCAAGAATTTATTAACGATTGCATGGACGATGAAAAACTAAGTGCGTGATTTCTAGTATGTGGGTTCCTCGCTGCTGAGTGGTAAAGCATTTTCACACAGTTGTGGGACTCGAATACACCTAATTAAAAAAACGTCGGGTTCAAAAAAAGGTTATATCATCAAAGCTAAGACCGAAGGGGAGCATGGAAAGACAAACAATTATGCTAATTTCATGCGTATTGCAGTTTTCCCTTCCTGTGCACATTATGCATCATGGCTTTGGCATGTTGTTAATCTAGGTCTACCGACTTTGCTCTACTGTGCATTTGTACATGTTTAAATGCAAATATGATACACATTTCGGAGTACCCAAAATCCTTTTCGGTCTAAGCCTCGATGATATGACCTTCTCGAACCCGACTACGCTTTTTCAATTAGGTGTACATATATAGCCTGATTGAAAATACCTTTTTTTAGTACTAAATTAATAATCATTACAAAATTAAATCATCATTTTTACCTCTTGGAGGAGAAAGAAGAACGAGGTGCGATGGTGCTTAAGCGAAAACGCAGGATCGTAAAAGCTGAAATTTCGTAAAATTTGATTTGGGTGAACAGTGAAACGTGAGTACCATTTTTTTTCTTGAAAATCGAGATTTCGGAAAAACGTCCTTGAAACGTGATTGTAATAAACACTGTACTCTGAAGACAGCATGCGTTTGACGCTGACATGCGCCTTTGACCTGACACGCACTGAGCCATGTGTTTAATTATTACTGTAGTCGCGTAACAGATCAAAACTATCATAGTAGTATATTATTTTCCAGATTTTCTGTTCACGGGGACAAAGGCAGCCTAAGCAATGTACCTGTGCTGTCTTATGATGAAAAAATGGTAAAATTCTAAAATTAAAAAATTGAACTTACCTTGATCTCTTGTGTTCTTATAATAATAATAATAATAATAATAATAATAATGATAATAATAATGGAACTYATATAGCGCACATATCAAAATTCATGGCGCTTCACAATAAGAAATAAAATAAATACCAGACGTATGTTACAATATTAATGAAATGTCATAGTTCATTGATGTTCACTTTGAACCAGAGGAGACAAAGTTCTTGAACAAATGAGTTTTCAGTTCTTTTTTAAATAATTGGATTGAAGAACTTTTCCTAATTTGAAGTGGGAGGTCATTCCACAGTTTAGGGCCAGCAAATGCTTAATGCTTTTTAACTTTTTCTTGGGTGGTTTTAAGCTGTTTTTAGCCGTTGTTTTCTTATTTCCTCCCTCCCCTCCACCTAAAAGAGCCTTGTAGCAAATAATGCATTGCATCATGGGGTGTTTTGACCGGGACGCTCGGCATCAGTACGTCAGTTGACATTTGTGTTGTGTGCACCAAGAAACTAAAATAGCTTCATAAATCCTTATTACTAACTCTTACTCACATGTTTTTAAATCAGAAATGTTAAAAATAGAGCCGGGATATTACATGGGCGCGCGGAGATACGAAATTTATCTTCGAGTGTTGAGAAGATCTTTCACGAGTGAGAGATTTTCAACACGGGAAGATAAATTTCGTATCTCTAAGCGCCCATGTAATATTCTGTTTATTATATAATTATCCACAAAATCAGCTTAATAAGCTTTTTGTTATCATAAAAAGTTTTTATTTATAAACTAATAGCTTAAATACACATGGTAACGATATTTTCACATGTGAAAATGACATGTTATTTTCACATGTGAAAATATCAGTTTTTCGAAAAGGAGAAATGTAGGTATTTTATGGATAATTATATGGTAAAAAGTCATATTTAATGGCCATGAATCTTTTTCCTGCATTTCTTTGATGTTGTTTTGATATTTTTCGAAGCGTTTTTTGATCCCTCAGGTTACTCTATAGCGCGCGTTTTTCCCTCGATGAATACCATATTTCCTCAGCATTTAGCAAAGCAAAAAGCAAAAACGAATTCGGTGACCCCCTTTTTTATTTCATTCTTTGAACAAGTATATGTTGGGGTATGTTTATGCCATGTTTAAAAATCTCTGATTGCAACTTCATGTCCCTGCGAACGTCCTTAAGGTTCCCTATCACTTTTCGTTATCAGCAAGCGAAAAAGATGTCATATCCCCTTTGCCATTGCCACTTACCGAGATGCACCTCGGTCACAGATGAATTTCGTGGTCCATGAAATTCAAAGATTCATATTTTGAATAATAACTTCATATTAAATCCTTTTCCGACATAGCACTAAGGCACAAAAATGATTCTTTTACATTCTTTTAAGAGTTTATTCAAAAGGTTAGAATCGTTTTTTCAGTGGTGACACGATTGAAAAGGTAAACAAATTGTGATGCATCACGATAAGTGGCAATGGATCTTTAAACAGCCCGTTCTGTAACACGGCTAAAAGTGAGACGGGGTTCCTGTGTCGGAGAGCTGGTATTGACCTGTTACGTAACGCAACCCGTATTGATTCATCTGACCCCGGCACAGAGTCAAACATGTCGCTGACTTCTCGTTCATTTGTATTGTTATCTCTCCTCGTTGCTTTCTTTTCACTTTGCCATGGAGCGAAAATCTTATTTATGCCTATGTTTGGAAGCAGTCATTACTTTGTCTTCAAGAAAATCGCTACTGAGATTGCGAGTAGAGGACATGAGGTAAATACAATGATCTCTGTTAGTTTATATTTGGGACTCTTAAGAACCTAACAACGCCAAACGTATTTGACATCAGAAAAAGTGTAATCAAAAGCAAAGTTAAGTATTAAAGCTGGCTTAGCAACAACTGAATCCAACATAAAAATTAAATTTGTAACGCTTATTAAGAACTAGTTTAGTAAACATTTGAATAAATCGTTTAGTTTAAGTTGCCATCGTGATGCTGACAAACGACAAACTCCACTCTCACGACTGCTATATTTACTGTGGTTTTCGATCTTCTGAAAACTCATACATCCCAACGGCTTGTCGTGAAATTGTTTATTTTTACTGCTGCTAGTCAAGAACATAACGAAGGTACCAACTGATTATTTTTGATTGATGGCAGCGGAAAAAAATTCAGCGTGCAGCTCGCACTACCGAGTTCGCAGAACATCGAAAACCGCAGTAATAATCTAAGCTTTTTAACAACTTTTAACTAGGTTGATTTTTTTTTTCTTTTCTTTTTACAAAGGTAGGAAAACTGTTTTACAGATGAGTGGGTTGAGACAACGTGGTTAAACACAAAGTCAACAGCTCACTAATTTATGTCTTTATCTTATTTTCTGTCCATTTTGCTAAGTTTCCAGAGGATTCCAAGGGTTGCTAAACTAGAAATTTGTTAATTGATTTTTATTTGATTACGGTTTCTGCAGTTACCAGAACTTTGCATATCAGTGTTTTAGACTTATGTGTTGTCACGCAACACTTTAGCGTCAGTGTTCCGTGACGACACAAAGAATCTGCTGTTTGACTTTGTTTTGAATAATTATCGTATATCAAAATTATCATTGATAGCCCCCCCCCGTATTAAATTATGACCGCTCCCTTAGTAACTATTTAAGTGACGAATACCGGACGAATTTTTAACCGTTTGAAAATGTGACCAGTACACACCATTTACAATGATCGAACCGTCGCTTTAAAGTGTATAAAATCAAAAGTACGTTCTGCTTACAATCAAACGGGTCCATTAAGTGGTCTTTCATCTGAACATGCGCAAAGCATACTGTCTACGACTTGCCGTACGAAACAGGTGTTGGAACGGTAAAAGTCACTCTTTTTATCCGTGCAATCAAAAAAATCTTTCGAAATCACCTTTGCAGATCCCAAATTTGTACGGCTTTGATAGCAAAGTTTCGTGGGAACGGAACGCCTAAACGTACAACTTTTTGAAACTAAAACTTAACTTATTGATGGAAGCCAAAAACCAAAACTTCTTGCGCCGTGTGGGATGCGCAGCTATTGCTTACTATCAATCACGTGACTTTTTTGAGTTGGCTGGGGGGCAAACAAGCGGTTGACTGGGGGGCAACTAGCGGATGTTAAGTCAAAACATGTCAAGATAAGTCCTCAAACTATTGTATTTGACTATTTTCACGACATCAAACCAAAAAACAAGAGATCAAAACAACCTCCAGGATTCTACAAGCCATCAAAAAAGAGCTATTACCGGAAGTGACGTCTATTGATAGCAACCTATAAAAATGGTTTAAAAAATTCTTATTTGTTTTAGGTGAAGGTGTTAACGCCATCAAACTTGGAGCGTTTCGTAGGTGAAAGTAGCATCAGCCATTTGATATACGAATCTCCTTCTGAATTGAACCAAATAGAAGAGAATATCGAGAGAATAACGAAAGATAATCTCGTGAATTTTATATTTCGCGTCTTTCCGTTTGCAATCGTGTTGAAAATCCAAGAGATGGTTTGTAGGGATCTAGTGAAGAATAAAAAAGTTGTGAACGAAATTAAGGAATTTAAGGCGGATCTACTGGTGTCTGATATGGTGTTCATGTGTGGTCCTGTGATACAAGATTTGTTAGACGTTCCACGTGTTGATGTTGCGCCAACTAGTATTGTACCCTTCTTCATGCAACCGTTACAAGTACCTTGTCCCGTCTCCTACACACCACAGATGGGAACAGGTATATATCAGAGTATTAGAATACATATAGTTATGAATAAAGTCGGGGGGGAGGGGGGAGGGGCTAGCCAGAAGCCCAGATGCCCAGAAAAGAACAATCAAAAAACCAAATGCTTTTATTCATTCAAATTTGAAAAAATTAATATATTCGTTCCACTTCACAAGAAGATTTTTAAATCTTTAACATTTAAACATTTAATCATTGTTCTTTCCATCTAATTTTTTAACATTTTACTTTTTCTTTCATATTTTGACTATTCATTTCAAAAATATTTGGAAGTGCACGTGCAACGCCACTGGCCGTCCACTTGCATGTAAGGCACGCATGCGTAAGCATTGTTCTCCAGTTTCATGATGAGCTACTTTAATTAGGCTTGACTGCGCGCGCATCCTAACTTGACCATTAAATGCAATCTCGTTTCGGAAGCCGCGTTAATTTTGCTTTCTACCGAGAAGCGATGATGTTTAAGAAAGTCCACTAATTGTAATTAGTTTAGTTCGGTTCTGGTAAACTTTGCTAGCAGCTTTCCATAGTTATATATGGGGAGGGAGTATTAGAAAAATGGCAGATGCATTTCAAATTCCTATCTTCCATGGCGACGTATGGCGGCAACGCGCACCAAGGATTAATCGCAAAGTGAGTTAACTTTGATATTTTGTTATAGAGAGTACTGACGATATGTCCTTTTTCCAACGTGTACACAACATGGCTATCTACATTCTGTCTGGGGTCCTCAGGGAATTCTTTGTCTATAAACCTTTTGGAGACTTGAAAAAGAAATTCAAGATTCGCCCCGAGCGGTCATTCAGGGAAGCATTGCAGAATGGGGAGATGCTGGTGGTACAAGCAGACTTTACCTTGGATATTCCCAGGTCTCTTCCACCAGGTAAAGAGGACTTGACGTCTTTGTCTCTTGCGCAATGTTCATCAGCTGAATCAATGAAGTTTCTAATAGTATGTTCTTTCCGACTTCTTATATGCTCCGCCGACGAAGGACTAATGTCCGAAGCGCGTCAGTACAGTTGCACACATATTCCACACGGCGTTCAATGTTTGACTACCATTTGGAGCCTTTTATCCAGCAATTCTTTTGTCTATCTTCTTCGATCTCTCTTATCGCTTGACTTTCTAGTACTTATATTTAATTAGTGCTTACAACTAAGATATAATTCATTTAATATTTCAGCTGTCAAAATGATTGGCGCGGTCCTTCCCGAACCAGCCCAACCCCTTCCTGCAGACCTGGAACAGTTTATGCAAAGCTCAGGAGAACATGGTGTTATCTTGGTGACGTTTGGTTCAATGGTGTCCAAACTAGATGCATCTATTTTGAAGAAGATGAGTGTTGTGTTTGGTAGACTCAAGCAGAAGATCTTATGGAAGGTTAAAAGTGAGTTTGGTTTTCTGATGTACTTTTTGGTGGTTTGTAATCATTTCTAATAGACCTAATCGGCTAACGTGTTGCTATAAACGTTTCCACCCAATTCAAACCACATGGGAGTTAAGTTTCATTATTCGTTATATTTTGGTTTCACAGTTGAATTCTTAGAGACAAACGCTTCTATTCCCAGAAGGTTTGAATTGGGTGGTAACGTACATAGCAACACGTTAGCCGATTAGGTCTATCGGCATTTTTTAGTAGACTCCCGTTTTGGATAATATGCTTTCATCCCTAAGGGAATAAAAGTAGCAGCAATACTGGAAGACGTATATATCTCTTTTTTTGCATTCATCACTATAGGTGATTTCCAAAAAATTCAAAGGAATTTATCAAAGTGCAGCTTATTCGTTATCGCTATTCTTAAGCATAAGGCTTCTTAATAAAATTCTATTTCTAATGTTTTCCTAGGAGAAGCTTTACCATCGGATATCTCTTCAAACATCAAGGCCGTGAAATGGCTTCCACAAAATGACGTATTAGGTCACCACAAGGCAAGGCTGTTCATATCCCACATGGGACACAATGGAATGTACGAAGCTCTTTATCATGGCGTCCCTCTTGTTGCCTGTCCATTGTTTGGCGATCAG